CTCCTTGAGAAAAAAAATTTTTGGAAAAATTTTAATTCAACAGATCTCCAAGTAAAGCAGTAAGTTTTTAGTCTCACTGCAACTCCAGAATGTATACTAGCTATATATTTTTGACAGAATAAAATATGAGAAATAGAAAACGCTGGAGTGAAGGCCTCATCTTAGAACTCTGTTAAATAATAAACAGTCAATATTATGGAAGTAAACCAAAATTTTTATAGCAAATTTTTAACGTTTTAGCATACTGGATATTTGTGGCTGCCCACTGCGGCCTTCAGGAGCGGCTCCGGATGGTTTCACCATTGAAAAATACATGGGATTACTGTAAAAATAGTGGATTTTTTCCAGTTTTACATCCTATTCCAGCTGATTGCTCTGGATACCAAAAAGTAGCCGTCTCTGAACTTTGATATACTGTAGAGCAAAAAATCCTGCACGAAATGTTTTTTTTTTTAAATTTGAAACTTCATTTTTTTCTGATTGTTTGAAATTTTGTTTTTATTGTATTCATATAGTTTTTCAACAAAATTAAAAGAATAAATATGCATAAAAAAGAAAGTTCAGGACATGACAAATCCAATAAACAAAAAAGCATTAGATTCTATATCAGAACGAGCTAAATTACAAGTCTGTAAAGAGAGGCACGTCAAGTGGCAACCTGGCGAATTTTGCCACTTTGAGGGGTGTAACTCTCAAGGGAATTCACTTTTCCAGGTTTTTTTTTTTGCAGTTTCCTCTGTTCTCGCCTGGACTCTACTAATCAGCAAAATTTAAAGAAAACCTGAGATATGTAGGGAAAAGTGTGCAATTTGACGTGGAATTGCCCGCTATATACTGTAAATTCGTAATGCAACTTTACTACGGTACTACAGTAACCAGTTCCACCTGAAAAAACAAGATTCCTTTTAAAAAATTGGTTAGTGTTAGGTCATTGCTGCATTAGAATTTCGATATAAAAAAGCTGCATGACAACTCTGTTTCCTTTTCTTCCTTTTTTTCCTTTCCCTTCCTCAAAAATTACCTCTGCAGCAATTTTCTGTAAGCTTTTTTCATTTATTAAAAAAATACTTTAGTTACTTCATTGAAACCGTTTTTTCTACATTATTGCTCGTCAACCCTTTTTTTTTTCAAATATTTGTTGTCTACGATACCTGCCCCTTACAACAACAAAAAAACAAGAAATTTTTACGGATACAAACAAAATTACAAAAGTTAATAAGTTACAAAGTAACATTTGAAAATAAAAGTCATCCAACATATCCGGCAATATCTCGGCGGAAAGTGGACCAAACAACGAGAAATCTGGAATAAAAGAGTGAACAACCACAAACAAAATGACATTAACAACACATCATGCACACAACTTAAACAAAACTCAATGACACTTTTGCGGAAGTAAGTCGGATAACACGCGGCTGAATTTTTAATAGACAGTGGCATTGAGCCAAAACCGTCAAAATTCTTCTAGAAGAGGGCTTCTCTGCTTGCAAAAATTTTTACAGCAAATCGGAAATGAAAGGGACTATATATATATGAACTTGTGCTGTTTTATTAGAATGAAGTACAACAGAGCCACTAAAACAAAACATCTTATATTCATCTGAAGAGCCAAAATCCAGAAAAGCAGTTTAACATTAATTTACTAAAATCAATCAATAAGCAAGATTAGCCTGAAAAAGACAAATATTATTTTGTCTTGCAGAAAGTTCCAACTCTAAAATTCTCATCAATAAACCAATGATGTAATTGTGATGCAGAAGAAAATCTAATAAAAAAGTATATTCCATGTAACTTCAAAAGAAATTAGTTTCCTCACAACAGTGACTGCAACAGATAGCATACAAGGGGAATAACTGAAACAGCAGGAGCAGAATCAAACCAATGAATAGGCATATTGAATAACAGCAATGTAAAACAAATAAAAAAGTAGTGCAGTACCTGAAAGGTCACAAAATTTAAATGGTTGCGAAACGGCAAGTATTCTATGGGAACTATTACTGTACATCAAGTAAGTCGTTGCAAATGACACAACAATTACGCACTCAAAATAAACGCTGCAGAGCAAAAATTACTGCAAAATGAATGGGGTTTTAAGAAGTAGAACCTACACCTTCCAAACTCCAGGAAAATTATTTTATTAAGGTAGAATGAAAGAGACGATGTTGTCCTAAGAATTTAGGTAAGACAAAAGTCCGCAACGAGTGGAATGTGATCGGATGGAACAGCATAATTTGGCCACGGACCTAATGTTGCACGTAATACTTCCTCATTTGGAAGCGAAAGATGCCTTAATAACTTCAACGAACTTTCGAAAACGTCAACTTTTAGATGGTTTTCACATTCATCATCCTAAAAGTTGCTGTTCAGGACAATGACTTCATACCGGTGATACAATGCTATCCTTGATCTAAGCAGCCAGAAAAACACCCACACTAAGACATTCTCTTTTTTTGGTTGTTGGTACGACAAAAACACTTGTTTTGCAGGATAATCCACTAAACGCCGCCACAGTGAGACTTATCTCCCCAGAACTGCAAATCCTCTATTTCTTCTCTGTAGACTAAAACCAGTGTCTCCCGAGTTTGAACAGAATATTCCGAGCAACAATCATTTCTAATTTAAGAGGAGAATACGTTCTTTCAAACAACCACCACTCACCTATACGCATAAACGCTATACTACAGTCATCGCTTCTAACGACATAATTTGCACCTATTCAGAAACAAAGAAAGATACTGCTTTTACAAAAAAAAAAAAATGATTTTAAACACTCCACAGCAAACCCCATAAATTACTAATTTAGCTACTGCCACAAAACTTATTGAACGATGTGGAACGTTTACAAACATCAAATTTTTCTAATACTTCATCAAGTACCTAGTTCACCTCTTTACTGCAAACGCAGAAAGGATCACTTCCTGCCTTATCAAAATAATTTCTTGAAATTTTCTAAGAAATTTCAGGCTGTGCAAAAAGTGATTAGTCAGACATTTTGTTTTCCAAATCTGTTCGCTTAAAATGTCTACTATAAAAAAACACACCAAAGTCTAAGACCAAGGGCGAACTTCAAACTAACAAAATTTTTTTACCCTTACGACTCTACGACCGACCGAATAAAACATGAAATCCGGGTTCACCGCTTCAACACAGTTATATGAGGAGACCTCTTGCTGAAAAAGAAAAGTTCAATATCTGCATTAAATAAGCCCCACTTCAGTATCAGTACACATGCTGTAGGAAGATAAATACGTCAGCGTCATCAATCCAGTCATACTGTGCAATTTTAACAGGCAATAACAATAAACTTATCCTCGTAGCAAAAATACGAGGACTGAGGTCACTTTCGAATGTTTGAACTGTTACATTAACCACAAAAGACTGCTAGGAATATTTGACTTAAAAAACACGAATCAAAACTCCACCTTATCCTTGGAATCATAATGGAAATAGACGCTTCCCAAATTAAGGCTATGTGTCCAAAAATCGTCCTTCTGGTCTTTTACCTCTCCTCTTTCTAAAAACAACCCCATTTCAAACAAAATCTTTTCTTGGATTAAAAATATTTGAATTCCAACAAAAAGAAATGAAATGTTTTCTAAATTTAGCCAGAAAATAGTCGAGAACTTCCAAATCGACAGTCGGTTCCAATGTTTGTCTCGGGTGGCATAAGATCACTCCTTATCAAACGGCCACCAAAAAAACCTTGTCCAGAAAGATCATAACAACGCAAATCTTTAAACGACAGGTAGTTATCCAATAGAAAATTATATATGGGACAATGAGGACTCATATTGAAATCACCACATAAAATATAAGGGCACGGCTTTGATGAAGACGGTCCGCAACTCTAAAGGAAAGTGTTAACGTTTTTGAACGTTTACAAAGCTCAAGTTCTAGACAGTGACCTACCTTATCTAAATGTGCTAAAAGTACTGCGAGTTGAGCTAGTTTTACATCGCCGCGTTTTACATTGAAGAGCAAATGTGTGTTTGCCACACAAAACTCACGATTGTTGCTTCTGTCTTTGAGACGAATGACTTGTGCTAAACGTTAAAAAAAAATATATAATCTTTAAAAGCAGAAAAATTAAAGCCCTGGAAACGTCAAAAAACTTTTGAATCAGTCTAATAGTCCTCACACAGCTGTGACTTTACTAATAAATTGCTTTATTCATTCTTATTCTAGAAACTACTGTCGTTTTCCAGTATGTTTGACGCCTGCACAGTATAAACGCTCGCTTCCCTTCTTCTGCTAAAAAAATTTACCAACGTTGTCTCTGTCCAAGATAGAATGATCACGGACGAAATATTCGATAGGAATGTTTGCTACCAATTCAAACTTCTTTCTAAAGAATACAGCACAGCCATCGACAAATTGTCTGGTTCGTTTTTTAAATAAGCTTTCATAACCCACTAAAATGCTAAATCTTTACGAAAAAAGCTCTCTGCCAACAGTTTATCTTCTATTCAAATCAAAGAAACACTAAACAATGCGATTTTATGATAAAGCGTACTCCGATCCTCATTTCAAAAAATACCAGTTTTACTTCCGGAAATGCGGATAAATCCTAAGAGAATGCAAAGAGGCACACAATGAATCATTAAATAACTTGAATTACATGTTCCAAAAAACGGTTGATAAAAGGTAGTGTAATGTGTGCTCTGCACTTCTTGCAGACATATTACATCTGCATTCATTAATATAAACTCTCTGGCTAAAAGTTGGGACCTGTAAGCCCAGTCCATCGTACCATTCCTATAAAAATCCCTTAATGCAGAGCCTAAGACAGATACTAAATAAATAAACTTTATAAAAGCTCACCTGAGATGTGAATAAAGGAAGCTGGTTTTACTCATCGTATCTTGACATAAAACATTATAGCTACATATCCTGAATAACACACCCTCGACAAAGTGATTCTAGAGAACACATTTATCAAAAAGAAATACGCGCCAAAACTACAACGTAAAATTAACAAACCCTTCAAAAGTTACAATTCATTTTATGATACTCAGTAACCTTAGGTCAACCAGTACCTGAATATCTTTCCAACTTCTCAAAAGACGTCCTGTGACCCGAGCTGTTCCTTCACTCAGCAAATCGCTAAAAACCGTACTTTCGCCTATAAAAGACGATACTTTTTAGAAGCACCGTAGCATTTCCACTCCTAAACACCCTCCTTACCACGGCTTCAAAGTCCCAATGTCTACCAATGACAAGATCTAACAAGCAACAAAAAATGATTAAAAACAAGCATCAAATACCAATCAGTATAGCCACGCTATAATGAGTAAACGGTCATACTACCGGAACAAGATCACTATATTTCAAAAAAGATAAAAAAAAACTTAGGAAAACTCTTACTTTTCAGAAGTGACACAATAAAAAAAGGATATGGGACCTGCAACTGGCAGCCTATCTATCATCGTCGAATCAGGAAACGATAAAGGAATTGACTTGCGCATTGCTTCCTTTAGAACACGATAAGTATATGACGGCATAGCAAAGGCAGTGCTGTCACTTCCAGACTTTTGAGTTAGAACTGATTTCTCTACAGCAGTAACCTAGTAAAGAACTTTTTAACTAAAGCGAACTGAAAATAATTACAGAAAGAAACTCTACAAAAACTTACTGATGCCGATAAACTGGTAACTTCATCAATTACAAAAATCTCGTCCTTATCACTCTCGACATCTAAATCTGAGGTTTTTTCTCTTCTACTTTCCTCCTCATCAGATAGAGTGATTATCTAATTAAAACGTATTACTGGAAGCACAGTCAAGCTTAAAGTCAGAACATTAATAAAAATCAAGCCGAACTCAAAGTAAAAATTCTTCAAAGAAGCATCTAGAGAACTTTAAAGCTAAAAACGCTCACACCTCAACAGTAGTATGGCAAACTTGAGAGAAAGGATGATTTGTTTTAGGCTCTTTTGTCTCTCTTTTCTTGTCAGGGTCGCTTGAACCAGTCACACTTCTAAAAAAACGTATAGCACAACCCTTCACGTTAACTACCTTTCTGCTACATCAATACAGAAAAACGACTGTTAAATGAGCCTGTGGAGAAATCTAACCTTAAACACTTGGTAGTTCTAACATCACAATTTTTTTTCAAATTATGTTATTAGACAACTAAAAAGGGATACCAACCAAATAAGACCAATATGCTAAAAGTGATGAAACTGTGCCTCAAAAATGCTTGTAGCTTACTACTACCCCCAAGGCAAAAAAACTCGATTAGCGAGGAAACACGCACTTCAACGTCTCTTCTGAAACTGAACTCCGTTCTGCACTGTCATGTCGAGAATCCTGCAGATTAAAGCCAAAATATTAGAAATAAGACTTAACAAAAATTTCTTTTAAAGACCATTGCAAAATAGATTGAAAGTTAATGAAGAGAGCAAATGTTCCTAACAAACACCCTGCTGTATACAGCCCACAAAGTGAGAACCAAACTGTATTTTTAAAATTCAAACATTTTTCTAATAGAGACAAGCAATATTATAATAAAATTCATAAAATGCAAGCGAATAAACGAATACACACTACCTTACTAAGTACCTGTATTTCCGAAAATGTTCAAACAAAAAACTCAGAAACACTAAATAGCCCACCGTACAAACACTTTCATGCCCTTCCTCTATTAATGATTGACCAACAAACGGCAGTAGTAGTACATCCTCCTCGCGGTGATTAGCTTCTTCACTTAGAACCGTTAAATCAAGTGCAGAACACCTCCTTTCCTGCCCCACTGAAAAAGTCTAACTTCGAGGATCCTGTGCACCAAACGAAAACAGAAATGCTGCAAAATTTCAAGGTTACCTAAGTTTTCGAAAAGGTTAAAACGACGAGACAGCCTTTTTTTTCGCAACAGTCTAGACTTTTTTTGACTAGGAACATTAAATTTTTTCAAAGCCGACGTAGAGGGCGAAACAGAATTAGTATTTTCAATGTACGGAAGAATTGGCCAAATACCGTCACTAGGTGGAGGTTTCACAACTTCTAGATTACCAGTTCTGAAAATCCTGAATATTTTCATCTATTTTTTGATATTAATAGATGAGAGAACACACCTTCAACAAGTGAAACCTTATCTGAATGTAAAGAAAAAATCTGTTCAAATAAATGCAAAAAATTAATACCTTTTAGGACATAAAATACTAAAAAAACAGAAAACTATATGTACTTCAAGTTCAGAATCTAGGCTGAAAGAAGGCGCCATATGAAACTATCTTGATTTGGTATCTGAAGAAATCATAAAATTCTTTCTTCATTTAACCTTAAGCAAGGACTTACCTACCGCTGATCTGCAACAAAAAACTACCGCCCGCTCTCTCTCTTAAACCAAAAAAGATGTCTAACTTTTTTGCAGCTGGTAATGACCAGCACATTTATCTACCCCATAAAAAAACGTACTTGGAATTAAAAAGAAACGAATAAATACTTCTGAACAAATCCGGTGCGTCGACGACTCTTAAACTTTGGCCTTCCCTTTCGCCTCAACTGAAAGCTATGGTCACCCTTAGAGGAATTCTTTCTGGCAGACATAAATCTGGCCATAGTAATCCATGGAAAATCTTTTCCGTATTTTAGCGGGACAGAGAAATTACGCGAAATCCAGCTTATTGTAACGCAGTTTACTGTCACCACTTGCGAAAAAAATTGGAACAAAACTGAGCGTCTGTCTTAAACTACCAACTTTATCCTTGAATAACTGAAGTACTGCATTAAAATATCATGGCGGATTTGCTACAGGCACGTCAAATCAAGCGAAACTGAAATAACTTTTCTAAAACGAACAAAATACTGCTGCAACTGCGTTGGCTTGCTATTAATGTCGACCTACTGGCAGCAAAAGCATATATTTAGATGAGACGTATTTTGTCACACCGATAATTTGTTGTTAGGCACATCAAAATTATCCTACTTTTGCTATGCACGATCCAAGACTGACAAAGATCAAAAGCTTCACGAAAAGTCCCGAAATCCGACAAAATGAAACGATCAAAAAGACCATTGTTTTCAACTTTGAGCAATTATGCTTAATTGCCACGCAAAATCTTGCCTTAGCCATTGAACGATATATGCAGAGAAGGAAGGTAGAAAACACGACGTTTCAAAATTTCCATAATATGGGTACAGCAGGGTGACACATAACAAATAAACCAATAGTATGCAAAGACATAAAAAATATTTCCTTGCTCCGTAATTGCAAATGAACTAGAGAAAATAATAAAACAGCAAAATTCAACTCGTACTCCACAGCCTTTCAAGGGATCACAGCAAAAGAATAACAGGAAAAGAAATAACAAAAAAATAAAAAAATAATACGTCTAGTCACTAGATGAGCACTTCCTGAAAAAGTTAAAAACTGTTAAGCTGCTATCAGTGTGAAGAACTAACTTAGACGGTCCAGCAGGTGCAAC